TTATTTTTTAAGCCTACGCGTTATTTATTTATTTTTTTTTTTTTTTGAATCGTGACAATTTCCATTTGACGGGCCGTGATTTATTCCAGTTGTTGAACGGCACCCCGGGCCGGGTCCTATTCCGAATCCCCGTTAAATTTAGACAAGACAAAACTTAACAGTCACCATGTATACATATATATATATATATATATATATATATATATATATACTACACCATAGCCCATGACATTTATCACTCCAACTGCTGTGAATATACTGTATTATTATTGTTATTAATTTCAATTTTGGTATAATTGTTTACTCATGGGTAAATTGAATTGTTCGTTGAAATTCAATTGTTGATTCAGGGGTTATAGAATAATATTAATAATTACGATTCGATAAATAAATTTATAAATTTATTTATGGTCTATATGTATAGATTTGGTAGAATTGAGTGACAAGTAACGTTTTTTGTTACCGCCCTTGTATATGAACAGACAATATTTTTTTTATTTGGTAACAATATTTAAATTTTTATAAAATAATAATTTTGAAATTAAAAAAATCAAGAATAATAATAATAATATATTGTAATGGTGGATGTAAAAAGGGTCGAGTATAAATTTCAATGGGTAATTTTGTATACTGCGTGGGCCATACTGCGTCTGGTCTTCTTTCTTTTGTTACAAAGATTTTTTTGTTGATCGAATCGATCCTAAATTAATGGACACCCTTATATTATTCATATATAGGACGGCCGTAAATGAGCAATACTCGGTGTGGGGAGTATAGTAGAGGGAGAAGGACTCTCCCCGTTGCTTTCACGAATGTGTGTTAACCTTAACAATAAGGGATTTTATTTTTATGTGCGTGAGATAATCGGGGCTCCCCATCTGGATCTCTGATTCATTGTCGTAAGCCCCAGCATATATATATATATATATAGAGTGACATTTGTACATTTCGACGTGAGTTATGTCCAATCACATTTATTTTAAATAAATATAAGTACTATTTGTTATCTAATATTAATGAAACCACATAAATTTTCGAAAATTAAATTTATTTTGTGGTATCACTAATTGAAATCAAAAGAAAGTTTTTTAAATTAAAATTCTTGATAAAATATTATAGAGATAAAAAACGTGATAAGATTAAATGCTTTAAAAAAATTATTTAGAATTTTTTTTCGTAATATAAAATTTAATTTTAAAATAATGATGATTTTTTCTAATAGATAATTAAAATTTTTTTTCATAACTTCCGCAAGGAAAAGAAACATCACATAGATTTCCGGAATGAGTTAATGTCAGAGCTACCTTGTCATTAGTGTCCGAGTTCCCCGAAGATCAGACCGTGGTGGCGGTCCAGCAATCAAAGATACAATAAAAAAAGCTAAAATAAGGTGACTAGTTTTGTTGGAAGCGTAGAATAACAAGTAAATACGAGGAAAGACAACGGCGACCGGCTAATGTAGGATGTACACCTTAAAATAAGAGTAGTAGAACAGGTTGGAGCTAATTCCCTCTGCTCTATCTGCTTTCCGACAGATCTTAAGAGTATGAGGGACCCTTCGCTTTATTCCTTTGGTCCTTCGGTGGTTAAGAACCTAAACTATACCAGGACCACTACACGCACACATCGACCCCGTAACCGAACCCGGTTAAATCGGTCTACTCGATTCAACAGACGGGTTAGCTTGATGCTTTTTATTCTAAAACTTTCGTTTTTTTTTTTGACCCCCGGCCGGTATGCTCATTTTCACTTTTTTATTTATTTTTACCTTCTTTATTTGTACTTCTTACATTTTTTCTTTTTTTACTAATAATAATAATATCAAGAACAAATTAAAAATTGAATAGTTTTATAAGACAGACAAATTTTTAATTTTTATTTTTAAAATTATTATTAGAATTATTATTATATTAGAAAGTTTAATTTTCTTCAAAAAAGGTCTATTATAATTTTTTTGTATCCAATTTTTAGCCACAACAAGGATTTTAAGGTTAAAAGACGGTTAACAGTTCAAAAATTCATTTATTTTTTTGCATAACCCCTATAACTTCCACAATTTTGAAGAAACTCCAATGAAACTGAAGAGACTTTCTTTTCAAGTAATTAAACGTGTCATGTTTCAATTAAAACAAAATCGGTCGATTAATTTCAAAATGGCGGGCATTAAGAACTTAAAAAACGGCTAATAGTTCAAAAATTCATTTATTTTTTTGCATGACCTGTATAACTTTCACAATTTTGAAGAGACTCTAATGAAACTGAAGAGACTTTTTTTTTAAGTAATTAAAAGTGTCAAGGTTCAATTAAAACGAAATCGGTCGATTAATTTCAAAATGGCGGGCATTAATCACTTTTTAAAAATAAAACAATTGATTTTTTTTTGGCGTAAAATCATCTAAATCCTTTCCGAATTCTTTAACCCCCTCATAATTCTTCTTTATATTTATTTATTTATTTATTTATTCGATGAATATTAATATTATTATTGTTTTCAGTGCTGGCAAAACTGCGAAACCCTTGAGACACAGTGGGATACCACGAAATTCATTTGCGAAGGAGAGGAGTATCTTCGTGTGAGTATTTAACAATATTATTTATTTTTTTATCAAACATTATAAGCTCTTATTATTTTTTCTCGCGGAAAAAGAATAAAAAAAGTACCATAAGAATCGAGAATAAGAATACGAGAGAGAGTAAGAGGGAATAAGACAAAGAGGAAGAGGATGGAGGAGTTATAGCCGTGTTTGTTTTGAGAGATGCGACTCATTTGCCTGGGAGTTTTATATATGTCTACCAGTATCTCGTTAGTCGATCTAACCAACTCTTTTGAATTATTTTTATCGCCGGGATAAATTCAATAAACTCGCCTTTTTATCTCATTATTATTCAATTGTCGTGATCGTTAAATAAATAAAGAAACTTTAGATCTTTTCCCCTTAAACCCAACGTTTAGATGTAGTTCTAGTAAGTTTTAAAAACTGGAAAATTATTTTTAATTTCGTCTCTGTCAACGCTTTCACTAGAATAAATAAAATTAAAGCTTGAGAATTAACATTTCAAACACCGACACTTTGAAATTTATTTAGGAAATAATTTTTGAGTAAAAAAAATGATTTGTCATTTTACTTCTTCGGTTTATGCGTTTTAAAATATAATCCTCAATATAATAATAATAATAATTATTATTATTATAAGGGATTTTTTGTTATTTCTTAACAAGGGTTCTTTTCAAATAGTTATTTTCCAATAAGCAACGCACTAATCCTTAACTGTAATTATTTTTTCAAGTATTTATTAACAAAATTTTAATAATTAACTCCTAAAATAATTAAATAAAAAATTCTAATCATAAAATTTACTTTTTTAAACATAATAAACTAGCTATGTGACTACCGTGACTTGTGAACTATAAATAAATAAAATTTTGCTTTATTAAATAATGACTTTTGTTAAATTGCACTGTACTTTCTTAAATATTATCAATTTTTCATATATTTATATATATTATATATATATGAATATATAAAAAATATATCAAAATGCGTGTGGGTACTCAAATGAAAGCTCTTGATGAGTGTAATATCGGGATGAGCTTATCTTATATCTTTAAAAACATCATTAGTTACCAAAATGCAACAGTCAATCCTTAAAACATATCATTTATACATATATATAATATATTTTAAAGATATAAGCTCATCCCGATATTATATTCATCAAGAGCTTTCAGTTGAGTACCCACATGCATTTTTGATATATTTTTCATATATACATATATATAAATATATAAAATATATGAAAAATTGATGTTGGTACTCAAATGAAAGGTCTTGATGAGTGTAACATCACGATGAGCTTATATCTTCAAAAATGTTAGTAGTTCACAAGATATAGACAATTTTGCTTATTCTCTTAATAATATAGATAATTTCTTCAATAAAAAACTAAAATTGAAAATTTGTTAATAAAAAATTCTAGTTAGAGGTTTTATAAAATAAACATTACTCAATTTGTTGATCAACAATCCAGCCTAAATCCCAAGCAATAAGTGCCCTCGTGAATTAAGAACCTAATAGTGAAGAAATAGCCAAAAAAATAAGAAATAAAACCGATATCTGATGGCGCAAAGCCGAAGAACGTATAGTAAAAGAAAAAAAAAAAAAGGGAATAATGAAATTCGTCTCGGGCTTGGCAGGTTAGGTCCTCATGTTCTCAGCCGGGATGTTCGGTCTAGCATGAAAATTAGCAGGTAGTAAGGTCTGGGTCCTGAATTGGAGTTGGAGGCGTCTATTCGAGCTCTCATGCTTTTTTTCCATTCGATTTTTCTCTCCGATTTAACAATAGCTGTAAATGGTAACTATACAGCCACTTTTTCTGATCTGTGGGTCCTTTTACTCCATATTTTTTACCACTCGAAACTAACCCGGAACAAAGACGTTAGAGTGACTATTATACGGTCAGACTAAAACTCGTACTCGGTGCACATTATATATTATGCTTTATGCTGTAAGAAGTTTTTCCCGCGCTACGGGGCGTCTCTAAATTTCTGTGGTCTGTTCTCAACTACGGACGATGAGGATGAGGTAATATAAGTGTTCTCGCATCTTCAAGCTGGGCTCGGATAATCGGAACTGACGAACTAGAACCAGAACCAGAATTGTGAACCTACGAGATGTGATGGGCGTCGAAATTCCGAAGGAAATTAGTCAGACCCGATATATTTTAACCGGTAAATTATTTATCGCTGCTCCGTTCGGAATTTTAAAATCCAGAAGCTGTGTTGCGACCTTCTACGCAAGGAACTAATTGAAAATTTTTTCCGGATCTTCAGTATAAATTTATTAGTTATAAAGTTTCTTGGCGATATTTTGCAGGAAGAAAATTCGCGGATTTTTAATAAATTTATTTTGATTTGATATGTTATATATTCCGACACATCGTGGCGTATATATGTGGCACGGTATACATTAGTCTGAGCATAAGATCGTTAATTAGTTAAAATGGCCCGGAACGACCATTATTTTAAACATGAATCGCCTCCGGCAATCGGGACCTTGAGGAACCTTAAATCTTTTATTATTTTTTATTTATTGCTCTGTTATTTTTTGTAAGTCCTGGTCCCGGTTCTTTACTTTTAATCAACCGTAATATATAATAGAGTACCGAGATTATTTTTATAAACATTCCAGGGAGTTTATTATAATAATGATGATTGCCAGGGGTTTATTTCACCGGGTTAAAAATTATACCATTATTTTTATTTTATATTTAATAGAAGTAATAAATTATTTTCATTAAATTTAAGTAGAAATTTAAAATTTTGAGCTTTTAATATGATAAAATGATTTTTTTATTACTTAACTATAAATAAATAAAATTCTGCTTAATTAAACAATGACTTGTTAAATTACACTGTACTTTCGTAAATATTGACATTTTTAAAGATATAAGCTCACCCTGACGTTACCCTTATCGAGAGCTTTCATTTGAGTAGCCACATGCATTTTTGATATATTTTTCATATATACATATATATAATATATAAATATATAAAATATATGAAAAATTGATGTTGGTACTTAAATGAAATGTCTTGATGAGTATAATCTCAGAATGAGCTTATATTTAAAAAAATGTCAATAGTTCACAAGTTACAAGCTCAGTTTCTTAATTATTGACATTTTTCAAGATATAAACTCATTTCGACGTTACACTCATCAATACCTTTCATTTGAGTATCCACATACATTTTTGATATATTTTTCATATATACATATATATATATATATATATATATATAATATATAAATATATAAAATATATGAAAAATTGATGTGGGTACTCAAATGAAAGCTCTTGACGAGCATAACATCGAGACGAGCTTATATTTTAAAAAATGTCAATCGTTCCCAAAATACAAAGTCATTTCTTAATTATGAAGCTAAAGATGAAGCTAAAGTATTTTAAAATGCAGCCTCAATAATAATCCCAAATAATTTATTTTTCCAGTGTCCAGCATGCCAGACTGCGTGCAAATACCGTAAAACCCGAACAGAAGAAGAGTACTTACCATCAAGCCTCCCAGCGCCGTCTCGCGGACCAGTCCGAGCCAGCGCCAATGAAGTCGCTATCTTCCTGCGGCAAGTGGCTCCCCCTAGCGTCAACGGCGGCTGGAAAGAGTCCGGCTTCTTCTCGGGAAACCGAGTTCCCTCTCTCCGCCAAGACACCTGGCTGATCGTCGTCTCCGAAGAGACCATCAGGCACTACAGCTGGCAGGAGTGGACCCCAACCCTGGAGTCCCTCAAAGAAGGTCCCTTCGTAGAGGCCAGCCTCTCCTGGTTCGACGTGAACGAGCAGCTCCGCAAGCAGCGTGATGTAGAGCAGAAACGGTTTAATGACCGAGTTAGGCAGTTCTATCTGGAGAAGTACGGCGAGAAGGTTCTGGTGGAGTGGCGCTCGAGTCAAGATACTCCGATCCCGGAGAAGGTCTTCCGCAGGTTCTTCTTCAGGAGGCGCTCTGATGAAAACACCCAGCCGCCTTCTCTGGAGCACCAGGTCCGTCAGAGCCCTCTGGAGAGTTATAATCGAGATGGTGATGATGATGATGATGATGATGATAATCAAGAGACGTATGTTGTCTCCTGGATGCCGGAAACTGGAGGCTTGATGGGCAACCAGGTCGTTGATACTAAGTTCGCACAGATTTCACTCCTCCCAGGGACCAAGTATCTCGTCAGAATCGCCTCCAATGACGGCCCGGGAAGCTTCCCCATTGAAATTGACACCAGGTCCAGCTCCGTCGATGTCTGGAAGGTAAAAAAAAAAAATGATGACGATTTGCTACCCTGGGCGTTTCTCGCAGCCATTGTTGCGGCGCTGGCCATCATTGTTGTCATTGCCGGCGTGAAGATCTTCAGACTTTCTAGGACACCTAAGGTTGTTCCTGATGAAGAGATTGTCTGAAGAAATTTTAGATAAATTTTCTCAGGGAGGTTTTTACTTGTACAGTTTATTATTGTAAATAGTTGAGGAGGTTATGTATGTTTTGCTCAATCAAGAGACAAAGACTGGCTGTTTTAATAACTAAGAGTTCCTGTATTTATTTGTAAATAATTAACCAAATATCTTTATGTAATTGTAAATATTGATAATGTAAATTTATTATGTATAGTTATTATTAAACTTATGATTATTAAATTGTCGTGTTTAATTTAAGACCTTTTTAGGTTAGGAATATTTGAATATAAGAAAAAAATTTCAAATTTTACTGTTAAAATTAAATATAATTAAGCAAATGATTACAAAAATGTGTAATTATTTATAAAGCTGATTGCAGGGCCACCTTAATTAAGGTCGGCAGACAATTCTAACACTATATTTTTATTACCCCCCTTAATTTTTTATAAGTTTCAGTAAAAACATTTTTTTTAATATCAAAATAACAGTTAAAAATAATTATTAATTTTCCAGTTTATTATTTTTTATACCTTTCTAATAATATATTACATATTCTACACTAGCAATCTTGCAGTCACTATATGTGACTGCGTAATTTGTGAACTATAAATAACTAAAATTTTGCTTTATTAAATAATGACTTGTTCATAATTACAATGTAATTTTTTTACTATTGACATTTTTAAAGATATAAGCTCATCCCGATGTTATAATCATCAAAAGCTTTCATTTGAGTACCAACATCAATTTTTGATATATTTTTCATATACACATATATATAATACATAATATAGATATATAAAAAATTGATGTGGGTACACAAATGAAAGCTCTTGATGAGCGTAAAATCGGGATAAGCTTAATATCTTTAAAAATGTTAATAGTTCACAAGATACAAGGTCATTTTTTAATTATTGACATTTTTTAAAATTGTGCGACTTACAGCGAATTCCGAAAAGTTAGATCTTTTAGCCTGTGTGCCTGTATTTGCGTGAATTACAGCGAATTAGTATAAAGTAGACCTTTTAGTTAATTATGTATTTAGATTTTATCGTATAAATACATTGGCCTTTGCTTATTCTCTTAATAATATATATTAATATTTTCTCCGTAATTGCCTTAAAAATTCATGCCCAAAGTTATAAATTTATTTTTTTAATATTTCTTACATAATATATCTCTAATTTGCCATTTGGCCAATCAGCTAAAGGATAAATAAACAATCTATTAATCCTTCTAATTGCTCAAGCTCCTTTCGCAAAACTAGACCATGAAGAGGCACCATTCGCATTTAAATGAGCTGAGAGCGAAAGAACAAACAAAATATGATACACGAGTGTCATAAAGGCTCGTTAGCAGTCAATTATACACTTACATACATAAATACATAAATATACATGACAGAGTGCATAAGGAAGGAGCTAGCGTAAGTGTGCCTTGACCTCGATGCGGTACCGTTATCCGTGGCCGTGGACTCTTAGCTTCAGTCTTCAGCAAGGAGTCGAGTGAAGATGATACTTGTCCTCTTGTGTCTATTGCCTTTGTTCGGTGGTTCTAATTTGGTGGTCGCACCTGGCTACTCTTCCCCGGGAATTTTTCTAGTGGCCACTGCAGGACTCGGTGCTCTGCCCAGCGGATTCGCTGCCGGTCCCAGGTGAGCTTTCAATAAAAATAATCACTCGTATCAAAAATACAATAATATCCTGGACAATTTCCACTTGGTGATCGACAGATACGTTCCCAAATGGAAGAAGCAGGCCTGCGAGATCCCGGCTGCCCAGCATCCTGGTTCCCATTACGTCTGCGATGAAGCGGGTGAAGTTAAATGTCTTCCAGGTAAAAAATTATTTGTACCTTTTATTATTTTTATTATGTTCGGGTCGATTTTACTCGAGGTACTATAATTATGTGATGGCTAAGGATGGACCGGGGACCTATGCGATGTTCCGCTCTGTCGAAAGGGCTGCGATCCGCTTCAGGGCTACTGCCGAAGACCTGGAGAGTGTCGGTGCAAGCTGGGCTTCTATGGAGAATTATGCGACAAGTGTGTCGCTCTTCCGGGTTGCCAACACGGTAGGTAAGTATTTTTTTTTTTTTTATTATTTTTATTATATTATTTATTTAATATAAACGAATATAATGACAATTAAGTTAGCCGACATCTAGAAACTTTCTGAAATTTTTTTATTGAAAAATTACTACAAGAAAATGAAAATAAAAAATTGCACTTGTAAAAAACTTGAAAAACTATCAGTGTAATTTTTCAAAAATATTTTTTAATTTTTATTTAATTAATAAAAAATAATTAAAAAATTAAAAATGTCGGTTAACTTTAGTATTAAATAATTAAACATGTAAACAAAATTATTTAAATAATTTTTTTAAAGTTTTTTTAATATTACGATCTAGAAAGTGTAAAATATTAAATTATTATTATTTTAACGTTTAATTTAATAAAATTAATTACTAAAATTAATTTTCACACGACAATTTTAATAAGTCTCTCAAAAAAATAATTAATTAAAAAAAAAGTGGAATTTTTTACAGATTGTTAATCTTAAAAATCTAAACTCTTCCAATATAAAAAAATTCGTATGAAATTTAATCCCGAATTCAGCATAAATTAATTGAAAAAAAAAAAAAAAAAATTTAGGCACTGTCAAACGTGTCACTCTTTATAGAATAATTAATAATTAAATATCAATAATATAACAGAAGATTAAATCCACAAGATAGATCTCTGTCGGAGCATTAAAACTATTAAACTTAAACCCAGTGTGTGATATGTGCGGCATTGACCTTAACCAGAGGTGATCAACCTCAGTTTCTCTTACTGTCGGTACTGTATTCCATTGCTCGGGCACACACACATATGACAGGATGACGTTTCGCTACCTAACGGAACCATCAACGTTTACCTCTTAAAATAACACAAACTCGAGTGTTATTAATCATTAATGCGTCAAGTTGCTTTACTTTTTTTGTAATAATTTAGAGCTTGGGCGATTGATCCAGATGATAGTTAATTTAGCCGACATTAATGAATATTTTATTAATTAAATTAGAAATAAAAAAAAATTTTCTGCATGTTCAATTTTTTTAATAAGGAATTATTTAAATGCAGGTGCAACGTAAGCTTCGAGTGCGCCTGTGACCCAGGCTGGAAAGGATTGTTCTGCTCGGAGCCGATCTGCGACGCAGATTGTCATCCTAGCCAAGGATACTGCGAGAAGCCCGGAGAATGCAGATGCAGGCTCGGGTGGCAGGGCCACAAATGCAAGCAATGCTCAGTTTTGCCAGGTTGCGTCCATGGAACCTGCCAGGGCCCTCTCGAATGTCGATGTAAGCCCGGGTGGACCGGAATCGTTTGCCAGACCCGTAAGTTTATCGTTTTATTGATAAAAAGTCATTTTTATTTGGTTATTGCCGGAATTTTGAGGAAAAATGGACTTTTCCAGCGATCTGCGCTCCGGGATGCAGCAGAGAAAATGGAGGATGTCGCAGGCCCGGGACCTGCAGATGTCGCGTCGGGTGGACTGGACAGAACTGCACTGAGTGTGTTCCCTATCCTGGATGTGTTAATGGGGGTTGTAGGAGACCTTGGGAATGCAGGTGCCAGCCAGGGTGGACTGGAGACCTTTGTGATGAGAAACTTACGTTCTGCGATGATCATCCTGATGTTTGTCAGAATAACGCGACTTGCGTTAGTATGACCAAAGAAGATGGTGATTTTAGGTAAGTGTTTTTTTTTTTTAATTGAAAATTTAATTGTAATTGATAAAAAATAGCAATTAAAATAGTAAAATTGTTATTTTAATAATTAATTTGGGATATTTTGTTTTAATATATTAAAATTTAAAATTTATATTGCAAAAATTCATTTTAATTTTATTAATAATTTATTTTTTTTATATTCAGGGAAAAAAAAATGTAAATGATTTTTAAATAATGAAAATTTACTTTAGAAATATTGAATAAAAAATAAAAAATGTTTATTTGTGTTTAAAAATAAAAAATTTTAATAGTTAAAAAAAAGATTGCATCAATAATTTTTTGAAATACTAATTAATAAAATTAATTTTCAATTTTAGATGCATATGCCCGATAGGATTCACCGGCCGAAAGTGCCAGATCCAAACCGTGGAACCAGCGGCCGACTTAATGCCCCCGATTCCCGAAACAGCAACGATACCGATGAATTCTACAGAGATTCCACCGGAACTTTCAACAACTGCCTCTAAAAATCGGACCACAGTGTCCATGGTGAATTCCCACCAAGGACACTGGGATGACGAGGTCACTGAGAAAGTCCAAGGGACCACTATTGAGCCGCTTGGTCCAATAATGGTCACAGATCCTTCAACTGTCGAGCCGGCAGCGACTGCTGGTAAATGGCCCATTGAACTCGATGATGATCCAATTATCGACAGCGATATTGATAATGAAGCTTAATAGTTATTTTAACAAACAATTTATTTATTTTATTTTATAATAATTATTTATTATTATTTATTGTTGTTATTTATTATTTTTGTACTTAGGTATAAATAAATCCCAGATTATATGTGAATTTAGAAAACGATCTAGATTTATTTTTTTTTTATCATTTTTTTCAGTTAAAATAATAATATCATTTTCACCGGTATTAGTTTATAAGTATAAATATATATATATTTATATATTTCTGTATGTTGTATACTTATTTTTTCAATGTGTTCTACACTTCTGAGCATTCGGTTTATGAATACTTAGATTTTATTTCCGTTTTTTCTATGAGGTGGATTTCATGTATTTTTTAAACGTAATAAATCTTTATGTTGCTGCATATTTTTTAGGCCTGTCCAAATTTGATTCTATTGGAATCGTTTTGGATAAACATTATTGAAAAATAGATTTAGTCTTTTCAATTACCAGAGGCGATGACGTCGAGGAACGAACGACTTAATAATATAAAAATTGATAAAATATTAGTACAATCATTATTAATTAAAAATGGACAAACAATTCAACAACTCTACAGAACTACACAACAATTAAAAATCCTACAAATAAATTAAAGGTGATTTCTTAAGAATTATAAAGTTATTTTTCAATTATATTTATCTCGTGAATAATATCCGTAGATAGTTCCATCTTTCTACTGATTGTCAAATAAATTAAGGACTTTTCATTCCAGAAGTTTAGTAATTAATAAAACTCCAAATAATATTAATACTCAGAGTACACGGAAAGAACAACAACTCACTGGGTGATATGCATAGTGAAAAAAATTTCAAACTATAGTCAATATCATTTAAAGAGTATATACTCGGTTAATTAAATAGGAAACTTCACGGAGTATAGTTCAAAACTCATTCAGTATACTTTAAAAGATATTGACTATACAGTCGAATCGCGTTATGAGTCCGGCTTGTTTTCTTTGTTTTTTAACCAGACTCGCGTTAATAAGAGAGAGAGACACAAGGAGGGCTCATAACGCGACTCGACGCGTTAAATTAGAATTGGGTCGTAAAGAAAATCCTAGAAATAATAACAATGGAAGAACTTATTTTTTACATTGTCTACCGTTGAGAAATTAAAACGTCATTAAACGTTAAAATTACTATTACTCGAAATTAAATTTTTCTACCTGAGTATCTGAAATTTTCCAATTGTTCCAAAACGTTCAGAATCTCATTCTAAATGACGATTCAAATGGACAATAGATTTTGCTTATTAACAACTAATTGAAATGAAATGAAATGAATTAAAATGAAATTATAGACACGAATACTTTTGAAAGATATCGTTAGCATTCAAAAACGAGGAAATCCATCTCCATCTACCGTCAGTAATTGTAAGAAAATAAAAGAGTTGGAGAGAATAGTGTCCATATAAATATGGACGTTGTAACTCAAATTTAACAGTTCAACTATCTGCCGTACATACACTATAGTGAGGTGCATTAACACGTGGTTGATATTATTACTTTGTTATAAGTGCAAAAAAAGATCATTATGTCAACATTAATGAGAAACTTGAAGACGGCGATTTTTTTCGGTGATGTTAAGAAAGTTAGAAAATTATTAAAGTCATTAGCGCCGATACCGCTTTGTAAAAATCCTTTGATTTTTGGAGGATACAGTTTATTAAAACTAGCAATTAAGCTCAGAAACCGTAAAGACATTGTTAAATTATTAATTAAAAAAGGTGCTCGAGTGAATAAAAAATATTGTGATAAATCAGTTCCTCTTTTAAACATCGCGATTAGGCAACAACACGTGGATATCGTCAAGTTGCTAGTTAAGAAAGGAGCTAATGTTAATGAACTAGATCGTCATAAGAGGACTCCAATGTTTGTGACGATTGGACTTTCACAAAAATTAAGTACAAAGGCTCCAACAATAGACATTATGAAATTTTTTATAAGAAATGGAGCAGATATACAGGCGAAAAATGGACAGGGTTGCACAGCGTTGGAACTATGCTGCACTTTAGAGCAATTCAAGATGGCCAAATTATTTATCAAACTTAATGATATCGTCAATTCCCCGACAATTTTCGATTCAAATCCAATCTCCATTGCAGTACTTTTTAATTCATGGAAAATAGCGAGTTTATTATTGAAGTACAACGCATGGGCAAATTCGACGATAGATGAAATGACAATTTGCGAATGCTCACTTTGGTATTTAGATCTGCCAGATGAAAGATTGTACTCTCTTGGTAAAAATCCGACATTGTTGCATGCTGCGATAGTTTGCGATGACGTTGAAATGGTCAAGCTGTTAATAAACCACGGTGCTGACATTCATTACAGGACTAAATCGTTCAAGAGAACTCCATTAATGCTGGCGATTGAAGAAAACTCTCCAGAAATAGTTGACCTGCTGTTAAAAAAAGGCGCCAGGATTAATGACTGCGACGCTAATGGTGTATTACCATTGTATTACATTATTTGTAATCCAAATAATGTCGGTTCTCGTCTGAATGTGGACATAATTGAAAGAAATCACCAGCCGAAGTTGAAGATATTAATGTCCATGATTAATGCTGGAGCTAATATCATTGAAACGTCAGAATCTGTTGGTACAAAACTCAAATTCTTGAGAATGGCTATCACCTATGGAGAACACCATATAGTTCGGTATTTAGTGGAAAGTGCTGAGTTTGACATGCTTGTTGATGAAGAAATACGTCAAACAGCTAAATTAAATACGACCTTGTTATCACGACAACAACTCGGGGACCAAGGATTTATGGTTAAACTAAAAAAAGTATTCAAATTGATAGAGTTTTTGTTACTTTGCGGGATAATGAGAAGACACCGGAGCGTTAAAGAGATAGATGAACAATGGAAGAGAAATATTTTATCAAAACCTGTCAATGTTTTTTGGCACCTTTCACAATATAAAGAGTTAGTTAAACTTATAGATTATAAAATGTACCAGCGCATTGAAAAAATGAAAGAATACAAAATAGGAAATAGTACAATATCGTTATATCATTTGTGGACTGCTTCATGGAATCAATTGATTAATTATGCCTATAATAAAGATGTCAGAGAATTTTATTCCGGCAATTATACTGAGGGATATCGTCTGTTCATGCCTATGATTCGAAAACGCGTCAACGTTGCCATCAAGAGGAGCAAGCTGCTGGAGAAGTCTTCGGAAATAATTTTTGTGTTGTTAAAAACGCTGCCATTTTCGTGTTGCCAAAATATTGCAACTTATTTAGATGATGATGAGTTGGAAATATTTAATACTCAATTTAAGGATATTGATGAATAGTTCTGTGAGAGTTAATAAGTCTTTTTTATATTTAGTATTTATATTTATTTATAATGTTTATATTTATTATTTATATGTATGTACACTGTTGAAAGTATAAATCTGAAACTACTTTTCAGAAAATACTTTAACTACGTGCCATTTTTTTAAATATTTTTTTTTTTTTCATTCTAGTTCCTGCGATAACTATACTTATACTAATTTAAAATCCGTCATTTTTTTTAATTTCAGATCAGAAGAAAAGATCGATCGACCCTCGCCAGTCAGGTCCATTTTTTTTTAACACGGAAAGATTAGAACCCGACTGGTTCGTGTTCTGCACCAGACTCAGTCGTGTGCGGGTTACTTTGCATGGATTTTGGTGCATCACCCGACTGAGTCTGGTGCAGAACACGACTCACTCTGGTGCGCACACGACTCAGTCGGGTGATGCACCAGAATCCGTGCAAAGTATCCCGCACACGACTGAGTCTGGTGCAGAACACGAACCAGTCGGGTTCTAATCTTTCCGTGAAGAGGGGAACTTCAGCGCCATTTTTATAATTTGAAAAAAAAAAAAAAAAGAGGCAGGCAATAGCCTAGTCGGCTCGGTGGTCACTTTTCGAAAGAGTGAGACCCGGGTTCGATTCCGGCACGCACCACTATTTTTCAGTTAAATATGTGCGTTACATTGCCTGCCTCTGTAAGTGGCAGAGATAGCCGGGCGGCACACGTCTGACTTGAGCGATCGCTCAGTTAAGCTACAACTTAACATGAGTGACCACTCTAGTCAGCGTTGGCTAGCCCGAGGGATCTCTGTACACTAGGAGAAGGTCCTAATGCTCCAGTGATCGATAAAGAAGAGTTCGTTATCAATCACTGTAGACTTAGCCCAGCTCCGACTGTACTATCATGGGTTTTCTCTGTGGTTTCCCCATGATTCTGTTCCAAGCCTGAGAAGGTAAGGTTCAGGGTGAATACGGTACAGAAAGCACAAGTCGGGCCACAGCCGCAAATATAAACCAGTAGGAGACGAGAGGACCACTGAAGTGGGGATGAATAGGAAAATAGGATGAATAGGCTGAAGCGCGAAGACCTAATAAAAAAAATTTAAAAAAAAAAATATAATTTGAAAAAAAATTTTTTTTTGTCTTAATTTTTATTTTTGTGTAGTTCCCCGTTCACCCGTTCCCCTTAATAGACCAAAATCAACTGGGAAATTTTTTGAATTTGGATTTTTGTTGATTGTTATTTTGGTCAAATATTGTTATTTTTATTGATTTGAGTTCTATAATTTTTTATATTTCGAATAAAATTGTATTTTTCCTGAAAAATTCCCCGAAAAGATGATTATACACAAAAATTAACTTAGATCGTGTAGAGGCACGTGTTGTTTTGAATTAAAAAAAAAAAAATTTTTCCCAGTATTTTTTCATCAAAAAGAAGCTTTTTAGGGGGCGTCGCAAAAAAATTAATTTTTAACGAGCAGCCTAATGTACAGTCATTACTTTAACGTTAATTTTAACTAGGCATTATTAAATAAAAAATTATTTTTTTATAACTTTCGAGCTATAATTCACAATTTAAAAAAAAAAATAAACTAATTAATTGATGTATAATTAAGATAAACATTTAAATAAATTACAAATAGTTGCTGTTGATTAATTAATTAAATAATAAAAAATAAAAAATTTTTCTAAT